ACAGATGGAGCTTCTGGACCACGTCCAGCCCATCAAAAATAAATAAACCCCTGCCATGTGTTCGTTCTGCCGTGAGAAGTTTCAGCGAGTCACGATGGTTTTCTGTTGTCCTCCAGAAAATAAGAGACATTCCCAGTGTATCCCATCCCCTGCTGCAGAGGTTTGGCTCAGAAGGGAGTTGTGGTTTCTCCAGAGCACTTCCCCCCTCCCTCCCCAGACGAAGAGTCCACTTTTAGTACTCAAAATCATGTTCAAATCATGCCAGGCTCAAACTCTCCTCAGATTGTAGGATTGTGGAATGTCCTGGGCTGGAAGGGATCCACAAGGACCATCCAGTCCAACTGCTGGCCCTGCACAGACACCCCAACAATGCCACCCTGTCCCTCAGAGCATTGTCCAAACCCTCCTGGAGCTCTGGCAGGGTTGAACTGCCCTGGGCAGCCTGGTCAGTGCCCAACCATCCTCTGGGGAAGAGCCTTTCCCTGAGATCCAACCCAACCCTTCCCTGGCACAGCTCCAGCCGTTCCTGGTGCTGTCCCTGCCCCCAGAGAGCAGAGATCCATTCCTGTCCCTCTGCTGCCCCTCGGGAGGAAGCTGCAGACAGGGATAAGCTCTTCCCTCAGTCTCCTCCTGTATTTTATGGAGGTGGCTGAAGGTAATGGAAAGAACTCACCCCACTGCAACTTCTGTGGGGTTTAGGCAGAATAAAACTAATCAGAGGGGTTGTCTCATCTAGGAATAGGTCAGTGCTCCAGATTTACCAGGATCTAATGGAATGATGGCTGGGCAGCTGCATTTCCAGCCCACAGGCGTAGGAAAAGCCACTGTCACGTTTTTGTGATGATTTTTACACTGGTGCCTTCACTGTTCCCCTTGGCTGTTCAGTGGGAAGAGCCCGTGCATGGGAATCACGGACTCTGTAACTGCAGCCCTCCAAAGGCACTTGGAATGTGGGCAGAGAGCAGTTATCTCCTTGCACATTATGCAAGGAAAGTGCTGACCCAGTAGCACAAAAAAAAAATAAAATAAAAATGACTGTCAGGAGCCAACAGGTTTTACCGGAAACCATTCGGGTTCAACAGAAAGACTGAGGGTTTAGAAGGAGAATTTGACAGTTTGCCCAAAAATTACTTCTCCCTTTTACAGCCTTCACTTCATTGAAACGTGCCTGTTCTTTTCTTCCAAAAAAACCAAGGAAATGAGAGGCAAAAACGACGACACTGCCCAAACTCCATCAGTACAAATCTCAGTGGCAACTCACTTTAGGGAAGAATTATCTCAGCTTCGCTTTCCTCTAATGAGCATCAATCAGGTTGGTAACTAAACCAGCTTTTCTTGTGAGTCTTCAGCTCTTTTAAAATGAGAGTGTTTATTAGGGAGCCTTCTACAAGGTTTTATGTCTTGCCTGTAAGGATGCTCAGTCGTGGCCAAAACATTCTCTCAAGTGGAACCAAATGTTGGCTCCACTTATTGTTATTTATCCCAGACTCCCACATAGCCAGAGACCTTCACTGGGTCTGGTTTGGGGAGGGGGTGCAGAGGGGGCAGTTGTGGAGTGCCTGGATGGTCCCACAAGCCCCCTGAGCAATGCAGGAATGTTGCAGGGCACCAGGGGGTCACAGGGGGTTTGCTGACAGGTGGGATCCTCTGGAAGGCACCAGGAAGTGCCAGAGCTCACAGGGGGGGGTGGGATTGTGAAGGTGGAAGTTGGAAGGACTCAGAGGCACCAGGACCACAATTCCAGGGCAGGCAGAGTTAGGGATGGCAAGTGAGAGCCTTTGGGGTGTTCAGCTTGGAGTGTTCATCCCCCCAGCACTCCAGAGCAGTACCAGGGTGAGGGTAAATCCCATAAATGCCATTGGGATGGGGACACTGTGCTCAGCCCCTGGTGACAGCCCCACCTCCAGCAGACAGCACAGGGATGTGCTGACACCTTTTATGTGCAGCAGCACCAGCCTCGAGCACAAGTTTGGTGTTAATATGGAAATATGGATAAGAGCTTATGCTGTGACAATGATTTACTGCTTTGGTAACTGCACCTGATAACACAAATTTATCTTGGTCTCTCCACTTCAATTAGATTTTTTCTAATGTGTGTTTTGAAATACAGATTCTCTCAGTCACATGAATTTATAGGAACGACCGTGTGGCTCAGAGAATTCCAATCAATATGGGAACATCTCTTTGCCTTCTGCTCCAGTGTCTTCTTATGTGTGTTATACTGTGCCATAGAATGCAGATTTTCACACACTCTCTTTAAAAACATGGGACAAGGGGAGGCAGGCCCAGGCAGCATCACTGGGATTTGGTGGCATCATTCCTCAAGGACCTGCTGGAGTTTGGCTGCAGCACTTGGATGTCTCTGTGTTTCCAGTCTGGGTGGGGGATATTTCGTGGCCTCCTCCCTTTGATCCAGCTCGGAAGAGACCCAGCGAGGGCACCTGAATCCATGGAAAATACATATTCTGCAAGTGTTTCTATCCCTGTGTCTCCTGGGAGGAAGAACTAAGTTGTTCCCTCATGGAGGAGGAAGCAGCAGGAACCTGAGCACCAGGGCTGAGCCTTCCCAAAATTGGGGACAAACCCCTGGTGGGCTCTTCGTGCCTTTCTCCTGGTGTAAGAGAAAGCCAGGCTGGCCCAAACAGTGGGATAAACAGCAGTTAATCCCTAATAAATATGTGGGGTAAGAAACCATCTCAGGCAGCTGCAGCAGCCACAGATCCCTTCCTGCCTCCCAGCAGGAACTGAGGGCACTTCTCAGACCACCTGAAATCCTGGGGGGGCTGGTTGGGATGCTGGACACGAGGAAGCAGAGCTGACCCTCGAGTGGGAGCAAATGCCAGCGCTGCATTTGGTCCATAAATAAAAAAAGGGTTGGAATTTTGCTAGGACAAGTCATTAGTCCACCTGCTCCCACTTCCAGCTGATGGCTGCCATCACTCTTAGTCACTCTCCAAATTTCCACCGAGAGAAATGGGGCCATTATTTTTTTGAAGCTGCTGTTGCTCTCACAGTCCTGCTGCTGCTGCTGCTTTTCCCTGGCTGGGCAGCTGAGCAGCTCTTCCCAATGCTCTGGGATCTGCAGGTATGTGGGAGCAGATGTCAGGATCTGGCAGGGCCGGTTGTCTGGAACAAGATATTCCACCACAGCTTCTGCTGGGGGGGTGGACAGATGTCTTCTAGCAGATGCAATGCAGCTCTTTCCATCTCCAGACTCCATCAGTCATGTGTGGATCCCACATATTTGCTCTGATGCCGTGGCCAAACACTGTTAAACAGGGATGTTGCTGCTCTTCTGTTCCTCTCAGGGTTTGGGATTCTGGGAGCTGTGCTGTCTCCTGGATGTGGGTGCTGGAAATCCTGCAGAGGTGCTCAGGGACTCAGCACCAAGGACTGGGAAACTCCTGGAAAGTTTTCATCGTGTGATGCAAACCTTCCTGAGATGAGGGATATCTCTTGGAGTCTTGAGCCTTGAAGGAATGCTAGCCCAGAAAAGGTGACCCAGAGTCAGCCAGTCTGTCTTGTGCACGTCCTCTCTGGGTGTGGAGCTCTTTCCTCCCCATGAGGAGAACGTGGAGAACACCAGCCCAGCAGCACATCCCAGCTTTGAGACCAAACTGTGCACAACACACCAAAATCCTGCCTTGTTCCAGCAGGTTACTGGAGCTGCTCCTGGAATCAGGAGGTGTGGAGGTGACATCAGGGTTGGGATCTCCTGCATTCCATGAGCTTCACATCATCAGATCTTCTGAAGGGGTCAAAAAATGAGTTGATGTGGCCCTTGGTGCTGTGGTTTGGTGGACATGGGGGTGTTCAGACAGGGGTTGGACTTGATCACGGAATGGTTTTGGGTTGGAAGGGACCTTAAAGCTCATCCAGTGCCACCCCCTGCCATGGGCAGGGACACCTTCCACTAGCCCAGGTTGCTCCAAGCCCCGTCCAACCTGGCCTTGGACACTTCCAGGGATCCAGGGGCAGCCACAGCTTCTCTGGGCAACCTGTGCCAGGGCCTGCCCACCCTCCCAGGGAAGGATTCCTTCCCAATATCCCATCCAACCCTGCCCTCTGGCAGTGGGAAGCCATTCCCCCTCATCCTGCCACTCCAGACCCTTGGAAATAGTCTCTCTCCACCTTTCCTGTAGCTCCCTCCAGGCACTGGAAGGCCACAATTAGGTCACCTCAAAGCTTCTCTTCCCCAGGCTGATGATCTTGAAGGTCTTTTCCAATCTGAATAATTCCATGATTCTCATTCTCCCAGTGCTGCCTTCCAAGGGCTGCCAGAGCAACGAGCATTTGGAGAGAACTTGATTTATGAAAGGGCTGGGGGGGTTTATTTTTCTTTGAAGGTTTTCACCAAGCAGAGCTGAGGAAGGATCACCCCTTTCTCCAAAGGCCTAACATCTCCTTGGAATGTCAGGTGTTCTCCCAGCTCTTGGAGATTAAAAGGCAATGCTCCCCAGGCAATGTGATATTCAAAGGGAGCATTAGTAAGGAACATGGTGCAGTCATTTCCATGGCTGTAAAACCCAGAGCAAATGGGTTGGAACCCTGGAGGAGAGGGAAAGTGGAGAGCTACAAAAAGCTGTTCCAGCTGGTTTTTCCCCCACCTCAGGGAAAATAAAAAATACTGTGTTTCTTCTTAAAAATTGTGCCTTGCCTTTATCTGCCCACTTATCTTTCGTATCTCCAGTCATTACCCACATTAGTGGAAGCGATCCCTACGTAGGAAAAGATCTGTGAAGTGCCTGGGAACATTTGGATGGACAGAGCTGTATAAAATGAAGACATCAGCAGCAGCATCCCGACTTTTCCTATTGCTGGTGGATCCATCAGCCGTGGATAAGTCATTCTGTGCAAAGCAGCCTTTCCAAGGGTGAGGGAAAAGCCCCAGCTGTAAATTCTCTGTGTTTGCTGGTGCTGCTGAACTGGGTCAGGGCTCAGCAGCCAGTGCTGGTTACACTGAGCTGAGCAGGGTAAACAAAGGCTCCACAAACGCCTGCTCAGGATTCAATCCAACCGTGGCCAGGCAAATATTTATTATTTGCACAAATGTACAGGCAGGGACTTCTGCTCTTGTGAGGATACAGAGCCTGGAAAGGCTTTCTGTGCTTTCTGCAGCCAGAGCAGCACAGGCACTCTCTGTCCTCTGTTCCCTGCAGGAAAAGACAACTCCGAGCTGGTGGCAGGAGAGGGGAGATCCTTGCCTGGAATTCCCACTCCAGGGATTGTTGCTTGGCTGTTTTGGGAAATCCTTGTTATCCAGTTTAGAAACATTCTGTTTTTTTCCTCAGAGCCATCCTCTCCCGGTAGAGAAACTTCTCCTTCTCCCTCCTCTGAGTACCTTCACTTTGTCACTCCGTGCTCCCCCAGCTTGAGCCTGGAGACTGAGCTGTGATCCCTCTCTTTCCCAGCAGCTTCCTCCAAAAGGGAGGGAAGGGAAGGTTTGAGAGGTGTTTATTCGTGTCTGTCTAAATTCTATCCTCTAGGAATGGGAACAAGGCTCCCATTTATCCTTCAGAGCAGCGATGGTGGGATAGAATTCCTGGTTAATAGATGGGGTTCAATTATCCTCTAAGGCTTTAGCAGAAGAACCTTTCCCAAGATCAACCCGGTGGGAACAGGCTGTGCACGGTCACCAAAGTCTGTCCTAACTTCAGAAACATCTCCAAACTTCTTTAAATCCCTCATTCCTGCTTTTCCATTGGATGCCAGTGCCCTGTGGTTGGGTCCCTGCTCTGCTGGATCTCTCTGCTGGATCCACTGTGTCTCTGTGTGAAGGAATTTGAGAGGTGGCTCTGAGCAATGGGAAGCTCCTGCAGCAGCAAAGTTGTGCCCAGAGATATTTTGGAGCTTTAGGAGGCTCAGGGGGGGACCTTCTGGCTCTGCAACTCCCTGACAGGAGGGGGGAGTTGGGGGGGGGTCGGGCTCTGCTCCCAGGGAACAAGGGACAGGAGGAGAGGGAACGGCCTCAGGCTGTGCCAGGGGAGGGTCAGGTTGGACATCAGGAGGAATTTCTGCCTGGAAAGGGCTGTCAGGCATTGGAAGAGGCTGCCCAGGGAGGTTTGGAGTCCCCATCCCTGGAGGTGTCCAAGGAATGACTGGACGTGGCACTCAGTGACAAGGTGGGGATGGGTGACAGGTGAGACTCGATGATCTTGGAGGGCTTTTCCAACCTTAACCATTCTATGATGAGCAGCAGAAAAGCTTCATTTACTCCCTTCCACGCCTCGTTTTCACCCTTCCCCGGGTAGAAACCTTCCTTTTCTTCTCCCTTTTGAAAGCACTTTGTCTTTTCCCACCAGGCAGAAGTAGTTGGAATAACTGTTTTCACAGCAGCAGTAGTTTTGCTGTTAAACAAACGAGTAGAAAGCCAAAACTTCTGCCACTTCACATGTTTGTGTTTTGAAAACCAAGTTATTTGTTTAGACACACTGGAAAATATAACCACAAACAACCCCTGAAGTGCCTTGCTCGGTTTCAGCGAGTTAACAGAAACCATAAGAGGGAGAATTTGTTGGCCCAGATATTTTCCTTTCCTCTCCAGAAACATTCTTCCCCATTTCCCAACCCCTTGGATTTGTTCCCCTGTGCCACCCAGTGCTCCCACCTGCTCCAAGATCCAGGAGGAGCTGCAAGGGCGGGGGGGGAGGGGGCGGGGGGGGCGGGAGGGGACAGGAATTTAATGACTTGCATGGAAAAAGGGATCGAGATCTATGGAAACACTGAGTGCTCCAGCTTTGTGCACCTGGGTAAGGAACCGCTGGAAATCTCAGCCCACAAACTCCGTGTTTGACCTTGAAAAATGAAGGCATTAATCCACAGCGCCGCGTGCTCTGTCCTGCTCCTTAATCCTGCGGCTGATGAAGGACAATATTATCACGTTGGCAAAGTCGCCGGGAATGGCTTAGGACGGGCTCCTTCCCTGCGGCTGCTGCTCCGGAATGGGAACTTTATCTCCAGATTGCTGCGGGAGGGGAGGGGGAGGGAAGGGTTTCTACCTGACTCGGGAGACAATGACCTGCTCACAGGCGGCCGGGGGGAATTTTAAAGAGCTCAGGGCACGGAAAGGCTCCGTTTCCCAGGGGCAGCCCCCCTGCATCCCGGCTTTGGGAGGCAGCCCGGAAAGGGATGTGTCCCCACCGCAGCGTCACCATGGCAACGGGACGGGGGAAGGGATGGAGCTGCCATGGATGGCTCCTTCTCCTCTGCTCTTCCTCCTCCCGCCCAAAAGGCACCTCCCCTGGAATTATAAATAACACCCCTCCATCCCCCGGGTAGGGATTCCCTTCCCGAGCTGCACCTCCGGGCTGGAGAGGAAAATGTGGGAGCAGGGAAGATGGGGAAGGGATGGAGAGTGGAAAGCCAGGAGTCAGGGAAAGCTGGGCAGGGAAAGCTGGGCAGGAAAAGCTGAGCAGGCAGGGAAAGCCTGGCTGCACTCAGGGCCCAGACTGAACAGAGAGGTTTCACTTCATCCTGAGCACTGCTGAATTAATTTTGGACTAATTTAGACTTCCTGTAAGATGCTGGTGTGGATCTGTGGGGCACAGAGCTGCTCAGAGCCGTGGGGCAGCAGCATTCCAGGGATAAAGGCAGCCCATGGCAGAGCTCAGCTGCTCCTGAGCATCCCTCTGGGATATTGTGGAGAAGGGGCTGGGCGAGGAACGGGATTTGGGGGGTTGCAAAACATCTCATGGCTTTGGCATTTCCTCTGCACTGGAATATCAGGCCTTGCAAAAGCTTTCACATTCAACAAGAGGTGGGAAAGCACCCTGGGGAAACCCCCTGCCCAGAGAAGTCATGGAGAGGCTCCAGCTGATGTGTTTAACTTGGAACCAGGACCTGTGTGTGAAGGAGCCACATCAGTCCTTACATCCCATCTCTGGGGGCAGGAGCTTCCTTCATCCTCCTCCCTCCCTGCCTCCCACCTTTAATGGGGTGGAGAAAGCAGGAGAGCCCCAGCAGAGGAGGCTGAGAGGAGTAACTGCACCTTCCCATGCCTCAGGCAGGGATTCAGGGAGAGCTGGAGTCAGCCTTACCCATCATCCCTCCAGCATTCCTTGATCTGCCTTTTCCTCATCTTCATCACCCAGGCTTTGGGAAACCTGCACATCAAAATCAAGAGTTTCTGTGGAATCTGCACTTCCAGGCCAAAGCCAGAAAGTTAAACAATTCCCTGAGTTATCCATGAGATCCACCCCCCTGAGCAGCCCTGGAAACCCTCACTGCTCTGGGAAGGGTCTCAGGGATGGTTTCCACAGCTCTCCTCCACCAGCACATCCTGCTGCAGCCAGGGCTTCCAGGGCCAAGGGAGTGGGCTCAGACAGACCTTAGGGTTCTTATTCCCCAATCCAGGGGGTCAGGATGGATTTTCCTTCAGCTTGGGTTTAACCACGTGGTTCATTTGAAGCGTGAGCTGGGCTCACACCAACCCAGGCTGAGGCTTGTGCTGGGAGTTAAACACATGTCCTGAAAGTTAAATACATGTCCTGAAAATTAAATACATGTTCTGAGAGGTAAATACATGTTCTGACAGGTAAATATATGTTCTGAGAGGTAAATACATGTCCTGAAAGTTACCTGGGGCTTTAGGGGGCTGCACACTCGGGGTCTCTCCACTCTTGGATGTCCTTGTGTTTGCCAAGAACATTCACACGTGCAGGCAGCGACAGAAACACCCCAGTGCACACGAGCCCAACTGTTTTCCTTGCAACAAATGTTCTCTTTTAGTTATCATGGAATGGTTTGGGTTGGAAGGGACCTTAAAGATCATCCAGTTCCCCCCTACCATGGGCAGAGACACTTTCCACCAGACGAGGTTGCTCCAAGCCCCGTCCAACCTGGCCTTGGACACTTCCAGGGATGGGGCAGCCACAGCTTCTCTGGGCAAACTGTACCCTCCATACCCTCCATGCCCTCCATGCCCTCCATACCCTCCATACCCTCCATACCCTCCATGCTCCCCATGCTTCCCATGCCCTCCATGCTCTCTCTCCATCCACAGCCTTTAAAGGCTCTCAGTCCCAGCAGCATTCCCGTATTTCCTTTGCCCGGAACAGAGCAGTAAGGGAAGGGGAAGATCCCAAGTTTTCCTGCCTGGCTGGGCAGCCTGTGACAGCCATGGAAGAACCTCAGAGAGAGAAAATCTCCTGCTGGGGGTTGAAATCCTCAGCATTTTTGGAGCTGGGTTTGTCAGAGAGCCACAGAGCTCAGTGAAAGGAGGAAAAAGATCTTCCTTGTCTCCTTCCATCTTTTTCCCTCTTTAAATCAATCCCCTGCCCTTCCCACACTATTGGCAGAGTGACCCTTCCTTTCACCTTTCCCACGAGCAGCAATCATTCTCCTGGGATTTTACCTCCGGTCTCTGGGCTATTCCACACTGTTTCCTGACCTTCAGTGGGCTGAGCAAGGGGAAAGTGTCTGTGCCCCCAGGGCTGGCAGCAGAAACTGGAAATGTGGAAACAGGGAGCTGAGGGAGGCTGGAAAAGCTGTTTACACCCCCTCTGCAGGGGTGATAGTGGCCATTACAGGGCTGCACTGATTCTAATTCCAATCCCACCAAAGTGTCCCAGTGGTGCTACAAACCACTGGGAAAGGACCAGGAATAATTCCAGCAAGGCTGTGCTGGCTCGAGGGAACCTGTGGAAAAACAAGGCATGGGGTGAGGGAAAAATCCAAGGTATTATCTGGGCTTTTAAAGCTTTGTGGATAATGATTCCTTGTTTTTTCATAGCCTCCCTCCTTCCAGGCACATTTGAGGTTCCCTCCCTTGGTTTTGGCCTCAGGACTTTCCCTCAACACCCAGAGCAAAGCAAAGCTAAAGCTTGACTCAGAGTCTTAGTCCTGGCACTATGAGGATATTTCTGTGTAATTCCTTCTGGCTGGAGTTGAATAAGTTGTTTTCCCAGGAGGGTTGATGCCCTTTGGATGTCCATCCATTCTTCTGCTGGGCTCCATCCAGTGTCATCACTCTGGCAGGGCCCTTGGAATGTGTGAGAGTTATGCACTGTGAGTTTGGGGGAAAAAAAAACCCTTTCCTGGGGCAGAAGGTCTTGCCCTGGGCACTGAGGGCTCAGACAGGCAGGTGCCATCCCAGAGGTGTATCCAGGTGCCATCTCAGAGGTGTATCCAGGTGGGAAGGGGTTGGGAGGGGTTGTGCTGACCTCAGTGCTGGGTTTATGCCCTGGGTGTGACTCCTGTGACAGCAGCTCCTTGGAAGGGTTATATGGAGTGTTTGGAGACAGTAGAAAGTAGGGAAGTGGTTGGAAAGAGGAGAGGGAAATGCAGATTTGGGGTCTCTCTTCCACCTCAGACATTGTGTGGCTCAGTCTGGAACCAGGAGGTTCTCCTTTGTCTGTTGTCTCCTGGCCAAGGCAGGGCTGGGACAGCCCTGAGCGAGAACTTCAGCTCCTCCTGAACATTCCAGGGTGTGAGGAGGGGAAGAGTTGGCTCCATTCCTGTGGCCAAAGTGCTCTCCCAGCACCTCCCAGTGCTGAGCTTCCAAAAGCCACACCTCTTGATGTAAATCTTCACTTTTTTGGGGGGCAGGAATTCCCTGCTGACCCTGCCAGTGTTGGGCTTCAGAAAGTCACACATTCGGCGTCATTCTCTTGATGCAAATCATAACTTTTGGGAGGCAGGAATCCCCTCCTGCTCCTTCCAGCTGCTTTGAAGCAAAGCCCTGGGTGGCAGAGACACCTTTCTCCTGTGCATTGGGATCCTGGTCCCTGCCCAGACACCCGTTCATGAACAGCAGCACCGGAGGAAAGATGGGGAAATCATCTCTGATTTGTTGGAAGGTAAATACCGTTCCATCCATCGCCCCTGACAACTGAAATTCCTCCCAGGAGTTCCCTGCCATTAATCACCTTCAAAAAGGATCTTTCCACCTCACAGGTTTTTGCTGGGGCACAAGGTTTGGCTGGAAAGCTGCTCCCACTCCCACCCGCTCCTCGTTCGGGGAAAACGCGACGCTGGAGCGGAGCCAGCGCTCACTTATCTGCCTCTGCCTCCAGCTGCTGAGAGGAACGAAATGCTTTTCATTTGCTTGGTTTGCTGTGCTTTTCCTTTCCCCTTCACCTCCTTTTTTATTTTTTCCCCCCTTTTTCCCCCTTCTTTTAGCACATCTGAGGAGGGATGAGGAGGAATCCACTTATCGCCGGCTGCACAGGGCCCCGGCGGGCACCACCCGTGCTGAGCCCCAGCAGCACCTTCAGAGCTTTGGGATTAGGGAATGGAGCTCTGCACACTGCTAATAGGGAAAGGAGGGGAGAGGATTATGGGGTTTTTTTCTGAGGAAAGGGCTATGGATTATCTGGGCCAATAAACACGGCTGGGACGTGCCTGTGTTTTCTCACGATGGATTTGTTGGGAGCGCTGGAGTCTCCAGGTGCAGTCTGGGAGGACCTGCTGCAGGCAGTGGGAGGTTCAACCCTGCCTTCCTTGGGCTCCAGAACGGCCCTTTGCTGACTCGTTGTGCCCTCTCATTTTATTGCTGGTGTTCAAAAGCTTCTTTGTCAATTGGCCTTTGCTGAAAGGTGAATTTTCCCTCCCGGGAATGTGCCCGGTGTTCCCACAGCCCCGACCACAGGTTTGCTTTCCTACCCAGGGCTCTGCCTTGCCCTGTCGTGTAGACCCCACCAGCACTCACCTTCCACACCTTTAATTTAAAATAGGTCATTTCCACGAGGGTTGGGAGGGACCTCAAAGCCCATCTCCTTCCACCCCCACCGTGGGCAGGGGCACCTTCCACTAGCCCAGGCTTCCCAACCTAGCCTGGGACACTTCCAGGGATGGGACAGCCACAGCTTCTCTGGGCAACCTGTACCAGGGCCTCCCCACCCTCACTGTAAACATTTTTCCCTCGTATCTTCCCTGGTGTGGAGCTGGGAATGGACACAGGGACAGAGGATGGAGCTGCAGCCCTGGGGCCAGACTCCCACAGCCCATTCCCTCTGGGCACAAGGAGAGCGTGTTCTGCTCCATCTTCTTCTTGTCTCTTCCAAATACTGAACATTATTTATGTAAATGGGTTTT